CAACTACTACTAATAATAAGCACAACTGTTAAAAAAATCATGGCTGAACAGAATCTTCCATATCCCCCAGCCTTGGACAGAGAGAGTAGTTGGATGTGGTGGTGGTGTGCTGTCCTTCAACACGATTCCTTTCATGCTCCCTCCCAACCCACAGGGCAAGTCAAACACTACAGGGTGGGGTGACCTCTACTGTGCCTATTTTCTGCTCTGCAGAGTCTGTACCCTAAAAACTCAGATGGTGACAACGAGCTGGGTTAAAATCTTGGCTGTCTTTTCTCAGGTGGGTAAATTTCCCTGTTTGTGCCTTATTTAACTTGAACTCCCAATTGGCTGTGAGGATTAAATGACTCAATCATTTATGCCATATATTCAGAACCATGCTTGGTGACAGTATATTAAAGTGCTACATACATATGAGCTGCTGATACTCTTTCCTTAAGGCATTTAACTAAAAGGCACCAAACAAAACAGAAAGAGTGGAAGAATTTGAAGCCACTGAGTGGCACTGCACCAAAAAGCTCATGCAGCCTCAATTATGAGTGGTAATCAGGTGAGACTGAGGACTGGAGCCTTGCGAGGTGGCAGGTGCCTGATGTTTATGAGGTTGTTCTTAAGGTTAATGCTCTAGGCCTGGAGGCAATAATCTCTAAGCCAGAGTTATCTTATTCCGTTTTGTGCTGCCAGAATGGAAGTCTGGAGATGGTGTAATTTGTAAAGAACAGAGATTTATTTCTTACATTTCTGGAGGCTGAGAAGTCCAAGATCCAGTCATGTGTGGGGAGGCTCTTCTTGTTCATCATCCCATGGTGGAAGGCGGAGACAGGGAGATGGGGAGGGAGGGAGGGAGGGAGGACGATTTGGGGAGAGGGAGGGGGAGAGGGAGAGAGAGGGGAGAGAGAGAGGAGAGAGAGAGGAGAGAGAGAGGAGAGAGAGAGGAGAGAGAGAGAGAGAGAGAAGGCAACTCATCCTTCTGTCAACCCCCCCCCCCCCAGGTAACAGCATGGATCCTTTAATGAGGATAAAGTCTGTGTGACCTCATCACCTCTTCATCATCACTGTGTTGAGGATTCACGTTCCAACATAGAAACACTGGGCGATACACTCAAACCAGAGCACGCGCAAGTATAATTTTATGAAAACAGGGCCAATAACCTAGATGAAAAGTCTTTTTTTTTTTTTTGGTACCGGGATCGAACTCGGGACCTTGCACTTGCACGGCAGGCTCTGGAACCATTGAGCTAAATCCCCAGCCCGATGACCAGGCCGGGATAATGACTCTTCTTTTAATACCTAATCCAACGGGGAAGATAAGGGACCCAAAGGGACAGTAATTCTCGACCAATTCTAGTTACTCATTCATCCAACAATTTAAACCATTAATTGGGCACTTACTTTGTACCAGGCATTGAAAAGATGCAGGAGACTCCACGATCTCCTTGGAGATACAAAGAGGATTCACCTTTCCATCAACAGTTATTTACTGAAAACCTACTATGACATAAGTTCTAAGCTCAGAGTTGGGTATAATGAACAAAGCAGACCAAAGTCCCTGTTCTCCTGGAGCTGGCATTTCAGGGAAGAGAAGGATAAGTGAAATTAGCATTATGCACATAGTCTCACAGATAGTGAGAAGAGCAAAGGAGGAGGGCTTCCGGAGTGTTCCTGAGGGTGAGCTAACACAATGCGGATAATGAGGGAAGGCTTCACAGTGAGGTGGCAAACTGCACTCAGAAGACAGAGAAAAAGCTGGGCCCTTCCAGCCCCTACCGCCTTCTTCAAATGTAGTTCTCAGGGGGCAGAAATGTTATTTTCTCATGTTCCCTGCCCGAGGGATAATCTCTGGAAACTGACCCAGAGGATAAGCAATTGTTGAGCACCAACTAGGCTCCCTCCTTCAGCATTTACTGAGCATCTAGCCCTCAAGGAGCTCAGCGTAGACTCACGTGGTCACAAGTCACACCAGCCGGCTGCACCGCGCATGCACTAGGGTGTCGCAGGTGCCAGGGCGGCCTGGGACTTTCCTAGGTGACCTGTGAACCAGTGGCTCCGCGACTAGGCACAGCCGTTAGCCCCGCATGTGGACAGGAGGCCGAGCTCATTGACCCAGGACCCCAAAGCCCTTACCCGGGCCGTAGGCGAAGTCACAAAATTAGGAGGTGACCTCTGAAGGGCGCCCTGGGCGTCTCCAAGGACCTCGCCACCGCCCGTCATAGCGCCGCCCCGCCCCGCGCCTCCAGGGGCAGCGAGGGAGCAAAAGTCCAGCGGGCGCGCTCCTCGCTCCTGCAGTGTCGCCCCCGGCGCGGCGCGTGACTCCTCCGACTGGGCCGGCGCGGGCAGGAGCGCGCGGCTGCGCGGGACCCAGCGGCGACGCGCGGTAAGTGCGCGGCGGGCGGGAGCTTCTGGCTCAGCTCCTGTGCCTCTTTCTTCAGCCCGGAGTTCCGGGCCGGGGCGGCGAGTCTCCGTGGAGCTCGTTCCCTAGGACACCCCGCCTCTCTCTCCCTCCTGAGGCCGACGAATCGACGGACGGGCCCCGGCGCGCCCCGACCACCGCGTCCCCGGCCCCAATCTCCATCCCATTGCCTGGTCCTCCCCCACTCACTTTCACCAGCCCCTTCCCGCGACCTCCGGATCGCAGCCGCTTCCTTTTTTGGCCTCACAATGTAGCCTGCACCTTCTTTCTCCCCGACCCCTTCGCTACCCGGTCCCCTGTCGTTCATTCCCACCCTTCCGGTTTCTGCCCTGGGTGATGCGGGGGCTTTCGCGGCCTGGGGGCCAGTGTGCGTGTGTGCGGGGTGATAGGTCGGGAGCGAGTCCCTGATTCCCCGTCGCCTCCGCCCGGGTGATCGTGGGCCCGGGGCTTGGGGCGGAGGCCGTCTCCGCTCCGTGTTCTCGGCTGGGGCTGGGATGACTCTGGTGATCTCTGCTAGGGCTTCTTTTAGCCTTAACGGGGACCCCCTGACCCAGCTGCACCTGACGGGCAAAGACCAGGGGGCAGCTCTCAGTTGTTTGCTGTGGACTGAATAAACCAACAACTACTCATTGAGAGGCTGAAGGGAACGGTGAGGGGGATGGATGTCTAGGAACCACTGGGGTTGGAGAAGCACCTGAGTAAATGGAGAGTAAAAATCATCTTTAAAATCCACCGCCGGCAAGCGCTTATAATCGAAAAATGCCGGGAGAAATTGAGTCTGTCTCTCCCTCCCGCGCTGGGGATCCAACCTAGGGCCTCACACGAGGCAAGCAAGGGCTTTGCCACGAGCTACCCTCGGCCCTCCTCTTTGTTCTTAATTAGGCTTCGTTCTCTGTTATGCGCTTCATTTCCCAAAAGCGTTTGCTGTCTCCTTCAGTCTCCATCTTCAAGCTCTTACCTGCCTTGTGACCCTCATTTTTGCTTGATTTCACACACTGATTTTTATTTTAGGAATATATGATAGAGCACCTTTTATTTGTCTTCTCATTAAACATGAGCTCCAAGACTGGACTGTAAACACCAAAAAATAAAGTTTCATATCTCTGTTTTAATTTAGTACACTGCATTTCACTTCATTATTTAGAAAACGAAAAATAATTCAATTTATGCTGATGTTTTTAGCAATGAGACAAGTACACAAGTATGGCAATGTCTCATTTCCCCAGATACTGGAAAAATAATGATTTTGTGCCAAACAGTTTTTGTTTCTATAATAACTGAAGTTTACTCTTTTAAACACACTGTTGACTTTATAGAATGAATCCTATGTAGCCGAAATTTTAAAAGTTCTGCTGAACTGAGATCAGCAGAACAGGTCTGTCAAGGACACCAGCTCTGGAGTCAGGTGGAGCTTGGGTAGAATATTGGCTGATCACTAATTCTCTAGGTGACATGGAAGACCCTCCAGCCAAAGACCACCAAGACTTGGATAAGTTGAGTTCATTGCTCCTTACAGGAAGGGAGACCTTGTAGTAGATGCTTTGGGAGAGAGTGTTTAGGAAAACAGGACTTTGCTCTGGATTAGATTTTGTGGAAGTGGAGGAAATTCCATCATCAACCTTTGTATGTCTTGATTAACAGGAGAGAAAGGTCAGCATGAAGCTACAGCTGTGGTTGATCAAGAAGCAGCAGCTGTTCATTAACAGCCTGAAAGGGAGGTGGTATTTGGTCATTTTTGTGGTTTGGACAATGTCTGTGTTTGGTCTGTGGTTAGATATGATTATACAGTGGTCTCATTTTTTGTCTTGATTCATAGTCACAGAGTGTGTGGCCTTGCGTGATGTTCATGTCCTGTGACGTTGTTCATATCCTCAAGAGCTGGCTCCTAGCAACACCAGGGCCCAGCTGAAAGTGCCAAGCCAGCTCCCAGAGATCACTCCTGCTTCTGTCTTTCTCCTGATCTTGAGCAAGTTACACTGGACCCTTGACTTAAAAACTCAGCTGGTTCCTGAGGGCTGGGTGTAACTAAGTCAATACAGCTGAGATCTGGATATTTACCTGGGTACAAGCTATAGATACTAAGGGGCAGATGGATATTCCATTAACCTAATTAACCCAAGTTGCTTGTATGTCAGGCTGGTTGTAACTGGAGGGTCCACTGTACTTGATATCTTCAAACTTCAGTTTCCACATGTGAACAAGACCTATGTCATAGGGTTGTTGTGAGAAATAAAGAAAGAAATAGAAACAAAGCCTAAGCCTGACACATGGAAGGATCTCTTCTAGGGTATTTGATGTTGAGGTTCATCCACAAAAGTATTCTAGCAGAGGCTGAGAGCTGCTCTGAAGTTCTGCTTGGGGCGTGAGAATGAATCTGAGCCCTTGCAATTCAAAGGTTCAGTGTTTCTGTGACTCGGAATTAGTTTTACCAGGCACTAGTTTTCATAGTGTCTTCTCACAGCATCATTAGTTTAGGGCAGTGGTGGTAAACCTATGGCAGACATGTTGTTTTTCTTTTAAGACAAAAGTTAATGTATGAGTTGTTTTTTTCTAAATTAAAACCTCAGTGTTCAAGTTTTATTGCAGTGTTGGCACTTTGCAATAAATAAGTGGGTTTGGGGTTAGAATTTGGGCACTCGTCCCTAAAAGGTTCACCATTTCTGCTTTAGGGGCTACTTTTTCCGGTGGGGCAGGACTGGGCATTGAACCGGAGGGCAGTCTACCACTGAATTATGTGCACCTTTCCCTGTTTTTATTTTGAGACAGGGTCTTGCTGTGTTGCCCAGGCTGTCCTTGAACTTGTAGTCTTTCTACTAGGAGCTACTTTTAAGATTCTTTGTTCCTACAGGTGAGTAGCCTGAGTAGGCTGTATGTTTTGCTAGCTTTGAGTGTCCTCTTGCTTCTTGGGTCTCTTCTCTCCAGGTGTCTTGTCTAGGAGTCTGATTTAAGCTGTAGGATATCTTTGCCTCATTCACTGTGGCTCTCTGAACTATAATCTGCTTTGAGCTGGGAAGCCAGATAGGCAAGTGAATAAATAGTTTGTTAAAATTTTTGATAGGGTCTCACTATGTAGTCCGCGCCTGCCTGGAACTTTTACTGTAGCTCAGACTGATTTCAAACTCTTGTCATCCTGCCTCAACCTCCTGAATGCTGGAATTGAAGATGTGTACTACTATGCCTGGCATGTTTGGTAACATAATTCGTAAAGTTTCAAATGAGAGCCTAGGACAGTGGTGGCGAACCTATCACAGGTGTGCTGCAGCTGGTTGTTTATCATTGAAAGCTCCAAAAGTTTCACCATCACTGGCCTAGGATCTGTGTAGCAGCTATGAAGTGCTGCACATTTTTAGCAATGAGCTTTTTAACCTTGATCTTGTCTGTGCCATTTTTATCTACTTTCAAATTGGAGCATTATAGAAATTTGAATCCAAGTCTGACTTTTGGTTAGCTGAAACATTATTATGCATGTCTGTAACGTGTCAGGCAACGTGAATTTTAGATGCTTCATTCATTTGGACCTGCACATGTTATTTAATCTTGGCTAGAGTTCTTTAGATGCTTGAGAATGATGATGGCAGTGTGCTGCCTACTGATGTCACATGGTAAACTCTATTGTATTAAATTTCCAGTCCGTATTTTGGCCAATGTCCTTATTATATCAAAGTTCCTAGAAACAAAACACAGCTACAATAAAAAAATGATCCAAAGAGTCAAGGACACCAATTTGTTTTTTTGAGGGGGGGCAGGGTCTCACTCTGTAGCCCAGGCTGGCTTTGACCTCATAGTGGATCCTCCTGCCTGGGCCTCTTGAATGCTGGGATTACAGGTGTGCACTACCATGCCCAGCCACCAACGTTTTTTAAACTAATATGACAAATGCTTGATTTCATTTGTATTGAAATAACATAATTCAACATTGAGATTCCATTTCTCACCTATCAGACTGGCAAAGATCCAAAGTTTGATAATGTTTGGTTAGTAAGGCCAAACTTACATACATTATTGGTGAGACTGCAGAAGGATACCACTCCTAGCAGTGATGGCATATCTTTTAGAGATGAGTTCCCAAACTGCAGCCCAAAACCCACTTAGCACAAAGTGCCAACACTGCAATTAAACCTGAATATTGAGGTTTTAGTTTAGAAAAAACTCATACATTAACATATTTTGTGTTAAAGAAAAAAGCAATAACACACGTGTCATAGGTTCATCACCCTTGTAGGTTACAGATGGATTTGCCCATCAATCTAGCAATCCCTCTTGTAGGAATCCACCCTCCAGATATACTTGCTCATGATTGGAGAAGACACACATATGGGGATACTTAGTAGTATTTTTTTTTAAAATAAATATTTAGAAATATTCAAGTGCTGAGCAATTAGGATAAGTTAAGTAAATAATGATACATCCACTAGAGGGAATACTATGCAGATCTACAAAGAAGAATGTATGAACATGGAATGATCTCTAGAATATTTTACCAGGTAACCAAACCCAAGGTGCAAAACAGTATAGATACCTGTTAACTTGGGTTTGTATAAAGCAACACGAAGGGAATATAAATGAAAGGAGAAGAGTAAATGGGAAGACAGGGCCAGGACATGGGCAGGAGTGGAATTTCTCAGTTCATATCCTTTTATATAGCTTAGATATTTTCACTCTGGAAGTGTATCACGTATTCATACATAATGATGAAAGAGAAACTTTTTAACTTCAACTTCACTAGGAGAATATTTTCAGAGTCTAATTATTGAATAAGTCTGATTCTGATAAAAACCTACAAAGCAATAGCTGCCTCTAGTAATTCTCCCAAAAGCATCCTACCCTGTCAGGAAGGCAAATAGACTGTGTTTTGATGTTAGATGAAAAAAAAAAACATTAAAAATTAATTCAGGAATTCTCTTTTTCACCCTCTGATCTCTCTGGGGATGATTGTTATCATTACCAAGGCTTTGCCACCCATAGGAGATGGGTTTTGTTTTGTTTTGTTTTTTAACTGCAAGACCAAGTCTGCCTTTATAGAAACCTGTTTGATCTGAAGGAAAGCCAGCTACTCCCTTTCAGCTTGTCCCAGAAAAGAATGTAGAAATCATAAAAATGGGGATCCTAGAAACAAGGGTTGACTGAAGCAGAATGTGCTGTGGCTTCTCTTGGACCTGCAGGGTGAATTCCCATAGGTCACTGGGGACACTATTTTAACAGTTCTTTCCTTGTGTTTGGGAAAATAAATCTCACACCTTATCCCCAGGGCAGTCACAGCAATTAATGCCTGCTTCTGTGGGATCCCCCTCTGGTGCTGGCTTCTTATCTCACCACCTCCCCACACCTGCACTACAGGAGGACATCCTAGGGGTCTACTCTCTTAACCCCCCTCATCTGACCCCCAGTGTTTGGGTAAAATTGACAGGACGCTGAATCTCTGCTCACCTTATGGCACTGACAGAGTTTAGAGCATTCCTTGGCCATTTCTAATTGATTTCTCTCTCTTCCATTTCTTACTTTTCTTCCAGAAAATCTTACTAACTGTCCTTTCTGGCCACTTTGCTCTCTAGTCATCCCCTCCTGTGACTCCTGCCGCCCTGACTCCCAGCAGAGGACAAACACCTTCACACCCTTGTCCTGGGACCTCCTTAGCCCCATCCCCAGCCCTTCCTGACTGTGGAACCCTATGCCCCAATGCAGGAGTCAGCCCTGAAGCTTGACAGCCCATTCCAGATGTGTCAAGGAAGTGGTGTTTGAGCATTGCAGCATAACAGTGTCCCCTGGGCCAGCAGGAGCTCGCTGATAGCGCTTCTTGCCTTGGGATGTCTTCCCTGTCCCTCTACCACCCCCTGCAGTCTCTGCTTCTACAGTTGTGCCCCTCTGCAGAGCAGCAGGGCTACTGTGGTTCTTCACTTGGCCTACAGATGTATCCTGGGAGCCGTGACTTCAAGAGGGCTGCTGTGACCCTGTGCTTCTCTCCAGTTGGATTTATGTGCCATTTTCTTGGTCCATTCCACAGCAGTCTGGACCAATAGCTAACATAAAACCTAACTAGTTCTCATTCAGGCCACCAAATGAGCAGCTTATTGAGGAAAAAAATTAATATTTTTAAAATCTCTATACTAAGTGATTAAATGCAGTACCTGGATATAGTGTGTGCTCAAGAATAGTTATTGAATGATTCAACTAATTATTTGGTAAATGAATGAATGTTCAATGAATTGAATGCAAGATTCTTACACTTAGTGTTGAGAGATGAATTAGAGATCAGAGCTTGGGAATATCCGTTGATCCTTCTTTGCTGTTTATGATTTCAGAAAGGAATTTCTTTACCTATATTAGAATTTCTTTCTTAAATGTTTCTTTTTACTGTTAATATAGAAGAGTATGATCAGGTAGCAACTGTTTTAATAATCTGAGAAAAAGTACTTTAGAGAAGAACTAGGTAAGGAGAATGTTTTCTGACACCCTAGGAAAGATTCATGTTGAACTAGTTGAGGTCCGAGATAACTCCCAGCTCTTAAATGTTGTGAAAGCTGTGTGGCTGGATAACCGTGCCAAGCAAGGAGGTGCAAATACAAATATAATACAGCTCTTATCCATTAGACATTTTAACCTGGCCATGGATAGTTTTTTTTAAAAGTTAATTTCAGGGGACCTGGGATTTAGCTTAGTGGCTTCGCCGCCTGCTGCGCAAGCGAAAGGACCCGAGTTGGATCCCCGGTACAAAAAAAAAAAAAAGTTAATTTCACTTTGTACTTCTGTGTAATAATTTTTATTATATATATGTGGTAATACAGGTATATATATACATGTTTTGGCTGTGTGCAGATTGTATTTTATAAATTGTTTATGATCTTTACTCATGTTTTTGCTGGAGTGTTCTAAAACTTGATTGTAAAAGATTTTTAAAAAAAAATTCTTGTTCTTTGTAAATAATATTAGAAATATTTTCTCAGTTTGCCATTTGTCTTTCTAAAGGCCTTTCTCACCCTACAATTGTACAGATGTTTCTCTGTATTTTTTTCTACTTTTATGGTTTCACTCTTCCTCAAACCTCTAATCCGTTGAGAATTTTGCTCTTGTGTATGATAAGAGAGAGGAATAAAGTTTTATTTTTTCCAGATGGTTAGCCTGTTTTTCCAACATCATTTATTAAATAGTCTGTATTTCTTCCTGAATATAGTACTTTTTAACCTTTCGGTATGTCTCTTCTTTTCCCTTCAGCTGAAGAGTGACAGTGATTTTGGGTTAAAAAGTAATCACCAGTTATTTTTCATTTCAGAGTAGGAAAAGTCACAGTGTAGAGAAGACACCCTTGACCTTTCAGAGAACTATAGTTGTCCCTAGGAATCTGCTGAAAGATTGGTTCCAGGACATCTTTTCCTGCTTCAGAAATTTCCACATCTGTGGATGCTCAAGTTCCTTATGTTAGATGTAGTGTTTGCATCTAATCTGTGCACACCTCCCAGGATGTGTACTTGAGATTTCCTGTAGATTACTTACAATACCTAATGCAATGTAAAGGCTATGTAAACAGTTATTATACTACATCATCTAGGAATAATGACAAAAAATCTACGTATTTAATACAATGCAAATTCTTTTTCAAACATTTTCAGTATGTGGTTGGTTGAATCTGTAACAATCAGTATGTTGTGCAACAAATGTTCTTAGCTCTCTGCCTTCCAGATGTTTGGAAGGATTGTATTTCTTGACCGTCATGGTTGGCGAAAGCCATGTGACTTGTTCTGGTAAGTTGTAAGTGAATATTCCATGAGTCTGTATTGGACCAGAGAATTTAATTCCTGGTGTGAGAACTTCCAGGACTTTCTTTCCTGTTATATAATGACTGAATTGTTCAACCTGGTGGCTTTTTCTTTGGTCTCAATTTCTGAATGACTACAATAAGCAAAGCTCTCTTGCCACCCGCCCCCCCCCCGCCCTGATATTCACACTTTAGGAACAAATGCATCTTTATTGTCGTAAACCATAAACATTTGGGTTTTTTTATTTGTTTCTGAAGCATACCCCAATGATCCTGACTGATACACATATTCTTTTTCACTATCTCATTTAATTTGTCATCAGCTGAACTCAAATTAGGGGATTTCCTTGGGAGAAGACACTTTTATGTGAACTGTTGAGATTAGAGAGAAAAGGTAATTTTAGAAATAAAGATACAAAAGACAAACTTTATATTTCATTTTAGGATAATTTAATTTTTTCAGGTAATCTGGAGCCTCAAAATGTTTGCCAAAGCAACAAGGAATTTTCTTAAAGAAGTTGATGCTGGTGGTAACCTGATTTCAGTATCAAACTTGAATGATTCTGATAAGTTACAACCTCTAAGTCTGGTGACCAAAAGGAAGAGATACTGGTGCTGGCAGAGACCCAAGTACCAGTTTTTATCCGTCACCCTTGGAGATGTACTCACAGAGGACCAGTTTCTGAGTCCAGGTATGTTTCCTTGTGTATATTCTATAATTAGATCCAGAACAGAAGATGGATCTTCTAGACATGACATGAGTTGTCTGTAATTGAGGTAATAGATTAAAATGAATTCTTCTTTTTCTTTGCATACTGTCTCAAAAATATATCTTTTCATAAAATGAACAACATTCTGCACACTTGAGATGAAAAGTTATAGCTTCATCTTTTGAAAGCAGTTTTTCAGTTTTGGTATAAAAATTAGCCATGCTAGGCATGGTGGTGCTTATCTAATCCCCCCCAGCCACGAGGCTGAGGCAGGAAGATTGAAAGTTGGATGCAAGCCTGGGTTACTTAGGGAGACTCTTGTCTTAAAGAAATAAAAAAGGCTAAAGATGTAGGTCAGGACTCCTTGGGTTCAATCCCCAGTACTGGGGAGAAAAAGTCAATCATGCCTATTTTAGACAGTAAGTGGAATGGTTGCCCTGGTCAGAATTTGGTTCCCTGTTGAGATGAATGCCACCACATACTGATGAAGAGAGTGTGAATAGTGTTATTACTCACATAATGATGCTTTCTGGAGAGTGTAAAGCAGGCTCCCAAGCTGGTGTAAGATGGCTGCAGCAAGGTGGATAAGGAGATAGCTTCAGCTATTACTGTGATTAAGGGTGGAGTATTCCTGTCTACTGGGTTGGGGTTTGTGTGGTCTTTCACTGGCACCAGTATGGGGAGCACCCAGGCTTTCTAATCAGTTTGTCCAGATGTGCAGTGGAAAAAGAAGAGGCAGTGGGGGCTTTCCAGCTGCCAGCAGACATTGTAAAAATGGATTGGACATATCATTGTAGTACAGTTCGTAGAGAAAAGTTTTAAAGTAAGTTTAGTAGATTAGCTATTAAAGTAGTTGTGGAAGCAAAATAGGTAGTGTATCCCTTTAAAAGCTTGCCTTAGCCCATTGCTTTTGTTGTTTAAAGTGAAGGTTATATAGCTCCTTTGATCTGTAGCTCCACTATAGATAATATCTTAGCTCTGAAGAACAAAGTGGCAATCCCTGAACATCTTGTGATATATGTGCCGTAACTGTCATGTGTTTAGGACTGTAATCAGTGACAGAAACCAACTGTGTTTAACCATTAAGCAGAAATTGGAAATTTATTTATTTAACAAAGACCACTAGGGATGCGATAATGACTAACAAAAGTATAAAAGGTGACTAATAAAGAACGTGGCGTGTGGACACTAACCAGACCAGTTTCTGGAGGTCCCACCTGCTTGCAAGTAAAACTTATTATTTTACTCGAATTCTGTGTCTCTGTGCATTTCTTTCCATGATTTTCCGGAACATTTGGTTCCCTGACCGGGAATCGGGAAAGAAGTGGCCCTTTTGGGCATTGGCCTGAACCCCACTGGAGGCAGTGGCTCTCCGCCTCCTCGAGGGGAATGGCACACCCCTGGGACTAATTTCATAGGCTCCCCAACAGGACATGGAGACCCACCCGCCAGCTGCGATCGCCCAAACCCGAGACGGAGGATGACAGAAGGAGGGCTGCTGCTGTTGGTGTCTCGTCTGTCTCTTTCCTTTGCTGGGTGAGAAACCCTGGGAAACCCCCTAGTTGTTAACTTTTGGTTTCGCTTTGGTTTAACTTTGGTCAAGTACAGTGCAGGGACCTGATCACCCCTTGTGCTTTGGCATTTGGGAAGATAGCTCCTCCCATTTGTTTTGGTTCACTTTGTGAACTTTGGGCAAAAATAGTGCAGGGGCCCGATCACTCCTTGTGCTTTGCCGTCTGGGGAGGTAGCTTCTTTCATTTGTTTTGGTTATAGTTAGGGGGGGTCACTGGGAAGGAATGTGATAACTTCTGAATAAATATGAGAGTGAAAGAGTTCTGGATAGGAGAGTGTGTGGAATGAGCCACGGAACAAGACAAAGGGAGGAGCCACTTGCGCTTAAAGAGTCCTCCCCGAGTTGCAAAATTTGTGTGCGGTCTGTCCTGTGATTCTGTGGTTGCGTTTAACAAAGGCACAATGGTGAGCTTACGCAACAGCCCACCTTAGCCTGAATGGACCTTAAGGTGGGCGAGAGGCCTGCAGCCAGGCAGGCGAGCAAGTGATCCCCACCTTTGTTTGTCTTGCATCTCCGTACAAGGGTACCCATACATACACCAACACTCTGATTGGCCGATCGTGGGGACAGAAATGTCTCATCCTACTGTTTTGGAATGCATGCTTAAGAATTTTAAGAAAGGTTTTACTGAAATTATGGTATTAAGATGAAACCCCCCAAACTTAGAACCTTTTGTGAGTTAGAATGGCCCACGCTTTGCCTAGCTTGGCCAACTGAGAGATCCCTAGGTGAGGGTCTCGTCTGGTCTGTCTGGCTAACAGTCACCACCCCTGGACAGGAACATCCAGATCAATTTCCCTATATTGATTTATGGCTCAAATTGTGCCACAGAATGCCTTCTTGGCTTCATATGTGTGCCCTGGAAGCAAAAAACAATAGCCTGGTCCTCTGTCAGAAAGAGGATGATGCTGGAAAGAAACCGGTCCTTTCAGATCCAGACCAAGAGAATTTAGACTTTCCCCCTCCTTTTTTGTTGCTAAATCCACAGGTATAGAGGAGGTAGGGACAAAAGCATGAGAACTGCTTGACTTTAGTGCACCAGAGGGTGCATGCCATGGTGACTCAGAGAGGATCGAATAGAGCTTACACTCAAATTGGAAAAAAAGACTGAAAAGAAAAAATAAGTAATGGATTGAAAACAGCTAAGAAAGCTCTGAAGAGCATAAAACAAAGCCAGAGAAAGTATAACTGCGCTCTACTAGACATAAAGGAATTTTACAAGAGAAATCAAGTTATAAATCTTAGCTAATTGATAAATGTATGTGTGTTTCAGTTTGAGTTGATGTTTAGAGTGCCTAAATTATTTCTTGTACATTGCATATTCTTCAATTTTAATTATAGGGTTAACTTGCTCTTTTCTGTACTTTGTTGATAAAAACTCAAGGTTACTACCGTTCTATTGGCAGCCAACCAAATTTAAAATGTAACAATCTGAGAACAAAAAAAGGGACACTTTAAAATTTTAACAGCTAAAGACAAGTTTGTGATAAAAGGTTTGTAATAAGTGAGATAAAAAAATATTTTTGCATGTTTGTCTTGTTAGATAAAAAGAGATGTACAAGACCAGAAGGCTTAGGTATGTCAAAAGATGTGCAAAAGTGATTTATCAAGAAAATATGTATGTTTGTTTGTTGGTTTCAAGTTTGTTATGAAAAGTTTAAATATGTTTACATTGGTTGTCATCAAAGGGTTAAATTCTAAGTATGTTACTAGAATATGTGTACATCAGTCATCGTCAAAGAGTTTGAGCCAACAGGTTACAATATAACCTCCTCCTTTATAGTGAGTTAGAAAAAAGGACTGTTGGGAAAGGGCACAAGTATGTCAGACCAAGGTGCGGTATTTGAGAATTGACTTAAAAAAAGGACAAAGGAGGCTAGGTCCAGAGAAAAAGAAAGTCGTTTATTCTCTGCTAAGACCCCTCCAAAGTGCTTCAGTTATTTGATTCCATCTTTGCTACCCATCGTCCTAATTGGGAGGACTGTAAAGAAATTTGCAGAGCCTTGTTAACCACTGAGAAAGGCAGGGAGTCCTAGGGGAGATTAAAAAGATTAATGCCGCTGGAATGCTGGGAGATACACAAAATCCAGATGCTTGGCATAAACAGCAGTTCCCAGTAAATATGCGGCCCGATTGGGATCCCAATACCCCAGTAGGCCAGGAGAGTTTAAGAAATTATTGGACGGCCCTTCTGGCAGGGATATGAGCTTCGAGTAAAAGACCTACAAACGTGATTAAAGTGTCAGAGTCTCAGCAGGAGCCTGACAAGAGCCCTGAGAAATTTTAAGAGCGGCTTTGGGAGGTCTACCAAATGTACACATCATTTGACCCTGCTGTTCCAGATAACCATCAGTTAATCAATAAGACCTTTGTAACTAATTCAGCTCCAGACATTAGAAGGAAAATTCATACGCAAGAGACTTGAGAAGGCATGAATATAATGCAGCTGCTGCAATTAGCTAGGAAAGTGTATGTGAACAGAGAGTCAGTGAGAGAGAGAGAGAGAGCGAGCAAGGAAGGAAGATGAGTGAGATAAGAGGAGAGCCAGATACATAGCAGTGGCTATGGGAGCCAAGGTAGAGAAAGAAAAAGAAAGGGAACAAAATCAGAAGGAAGCAAAAGAAAGGTTTTAAACGTGAAGACTTAGAGTCTGAGCAGTGTGCATATTGTCAAGAGAAAGGACACTGTAAGAATAAGTGCCCAAGGCTCAAGGAAAAGAAAAAGCAGGACTTGAAGGAAAGGAAGGATAGTGGCACATTGTTGCCTGTGATGGAAGACAGTGACTGACACAGACCGTGCTCAATGCTGCAAGGCCTCCATGAGCCCATGGTCGATATAAAGATAGGGGGCCAAAATATGTACTTTATGGTGGATAGTGGTGCAGAACATTCAGTAGTAACAGCTCCAGTTGCCCCTATGAGTGGAAAGCACATCCAAGTAATTGGTGCTACTGGAATTTCAGAGAAATGCCAGTTCTGCTATGAAAGGACATGTGAAATTGGAGGATAAAAAGTGAAACATGAATTCTTGTATACATCAGAATGTCCTATCCCCTTACTAGGAAGAGATTTATTACCTAAATTGGGAGCTGCAATAACTTTTCACCCAATGAGCAAATGCATCTCTGCATTTAGACCCAGGAAAAGATCTCATCATGATGGTAATTACTAAAAGGGAGGATGAATGGCAATGTTACAATGTGGATGATGTTTACCAGGCTCCACAAGAATTTAAAACTATGTTTCCTGGAGTATGGGCAGAGGAATTGCCCCCAGACTTAGCTAAGAATCATCCACCCATAGTTATAGAATTAAAAGACAATTCGGCCCCCATTGCTGTAAAACAATATCTGATGTCCAGGCAAGCCCAAATTGGAATCAAGCCCCATATCATGAGATTAAAGGAATTT